CCGAGACCATAGCCAGAGAAGACCAGGCTCCTGGTGTGTGATGGCAGATGCCTGAATGGTCCCTTCCCTCACATGAGCAGTGCCTTCAGCAACAGAAGTGGTGGATCATCTGCTGGTGCCAATAATCACCCTTTGCCACTAGGTTGGTGCCCTGCCTGGAAATTATTTATGTTCTATTGTATTGTTTCATTATTCAGTTGCATTTTCTTTTGTGGGCCATGGCTGCAGTGTTTATGTTTGTTAAGGGAAACTTGTATATACTTGTATATAGATTGTATGGCAGAAAACCCTGAGGGGGTGGGTTGTAGGGTAAAATGGTTTTCAGGCTTTTCTGCCCTCCCACCATTAGGATTGCCCTGCCTGATGGAGGTACCTGCAGGTGTTACATTGTTGCAAGCTGTCTTATTTATATCTGTGGGCCATGGGAGGAGTATTGAGAGTCACAGAGAGAAGCAGAAGCGGGAGAAGAGGCAAGAGAGAGATGGGAAGAAAGAAGCCAGAGAAGCCCAGAGTGAAGACATGCTGGGGGCTTGGAGGTCTGCTGGTCTCCTGGCCCCCCAGCACCCCTGTCTGCCATGTACCTGTTTGCCACACTACATGTAAAGCTCAATAAAAGCCTGAGAAAGCCACCGAGGGTTCCAGGACTCTCCTTTACCCATCTGCTAAATCATAGAAAACCTGCTCTGTGCCTTCCTGCCACTACATCCATTATAGATTTAGCACATTGACTGATGTAGAGATTGCCAAGAAAATATCTGCTATTCTCTGCACCCACCTCACTTATTTTTCCATGGAAAGAAACTACAAGATCTCTAACTAAAGCAATGGGGAAAATAAGAATGTCCATAGCTCGACCTTTTGTTGGTTCTCTTTGGATTTAGTGTGCCCTCAGAATATACATATTCTTATATCCTCCAAGTGGAATGGTTACTGAAGTTGGGCAGGCTCTGCATCTGAAGAGAAAGATTGAAGTTATCTCTATCCCATAAATCTGTATGTTAGCAATCTACTATAAAGTCATATGACTATTACTGAGAGTCACCTTGAAACTCAGATGTAAGCTAAGCTATCCATTGCACTTTTACTGGGAATACGTGTACATTTTGACCCCTAAATGACTAGTATATGTCTCTCTTTTTGTTTAAACTGGGAGAAAGGAGTATGGCTAACTGGCTTCCTTAGTATCCTGATATTGATGGAAAGAAAACTAATTACAAATGATATTTATACTGGGTATTAATTACATATATTAAAGTTTACATAAACTTTGGGGATACATACAGTGTATGTATGTATGTACACTGATAGAAATTGAGGTGCAATGGGATTACATGTGCCCATAATCACATAACTGATCTAAGACAAATTCAAGTCTGTATGATCACAAAATTATACTCATTCCACTATCCTATCATGCCTCCTATTCATCCAATGTTGCTTTTAAAAAAATCACCGAACTTAAAAGGCTGGAGACAGGAAGGGAAGCAGAACACTATATATATTTTACTTAAATTTTTATTTGTAGGCAAAAGGTTTTATGTCAAAGGGTAAGCTTCTCAAGCACAACTGAGCATAAAATGATTGACTAATTTTGATAAAAATTAAAGTACAGTTAATTATACTAGAATAATAGTAATACAGAGTGAAATGCAAACATAGAATTAGAAATCACAAATGTATGTAAAATTTTATGTAAAATTTTGTTACCTTACCTTGGAAAAGATCTTATGTCTTAGAGTATATATTATTTTTATTGTCTTTAGGATTCTCAACATTAAACTAAATCAGAACTTGCTTGATATGGTGATAAAGTGAGATAATATGAAAAACCTAGCCATATTGCATATATACATCTACAAAAATGCAGTACATCTTGATCACACAAATCAACTGGTAGAAATCATCATAAGTGCACATTACAAAATCCCATATAAATGAACAGTATCAGTTAAGAAGCAACCCACTAACTCACTCTAATTTAACTAAGAAAGGTTTGAGAGGGCCTCCCTGATGGTGCAAGGGGTTAAGACGCAACCTATGAAGCATTCTACAGGCTCTGCAGCATGAGTTCAATCCCCCGGGCCAACCAGGGAACAACCCACATGGTGCAACAGACCTCTCTTGACTCTCCCACTGTGCCCCTCAGCAGTGTACTTCTTTAAGTCTGCCTGTTCTGTTCCCCACTCTGTCTCTGGTGAATCCTCTCACCCCCCACACCTCTGGCCTATACCCCAGTTGTTGTATGTGTCGATAAACAAATCTTTAAAAAAAAGAAAAGAAAGGTTTGAGAGGAGTTTAATAGAAAATAAAATAAAAAAATCAAGGATGTTTGAAATAAATACAATTCAGGTAGCCTACACATTTGAGAACTTCCTAGGTGCTGCACATTGTTGGTCATTTTATTTGGTTGAAGTCACTGCAAGTAAGCTGACTGTTCTTCAAATTTCTCCAACCTGTTGACATGAGTGGGTGGAAGACAGTTTCCATTGCGTGATTACAGACACATTCTACACAAAACCTGAGGAAGTCATCTGGAACTTGTAGCCATTTTTGCTGCTGTACAGTTATATGCGGTTCCCTAGCCTTCTCTATTCAAAAAAGGTGAATTTCACTCTTAAGTTCTTAAAGGTGATTATAAGTGCACAAGATTTTACCATCTAATTTTTAAAACAAAAAATACTAGTTACTTGGCATTTGTGTTACCTCTTTATCCTACTCATCTTCTGCAAAAATAAATACGAATATTGTATTATAACAGTTATATCACATCAAATTATCTAAGGAATAACAGATCAAATTTAAATGTTTTCCTTAAAATGCTATCCTTCAGCAATGTTTAATTTAATGGAACTAAATGTATCAGTATTACTCAAATACATCTAATTATATCCATGTTTAATTTTTATGTCTTCACCTATGACAGAATTAGTGAAATCAAATAACATATTACTATATGCAGGCAGTGGTTTAATCATGTATCACAGAATATAATACTTTATATACAATTATAAATGTATATCATATACATCATGTATAAATGCATTATCAAAAGAAAATTGGGTAATTGGTTAACTATTTCTGTGAAACTATTTCAAAACAAAATACTCCAAAAGTTAATTTTTTAAAACAAGTGTTTATTACTGCTCAAATGTCTATGGATTGTCTGGAGATCAACTGATGGAGCAGAGTTTTTATGGTGATTGCTGATCTTAGCAGCTCACTCACGTGTCTGCAAGTTGTCTGGCCGGCTAACTGAATCAAGGCTCACGGGGTAGCTCTGCTCCATACTGCAAGTTATATATTGTGAGAAATGAAGCACATAACTGAAATCCCATAATGACTTGGTGCAGAAAGCAGATAAAAACAACTAACAATCACTCTCCTAGCAACACTCTGTATTTAAAACGTAGACAGAGTAAATATTGACTTCATCAATAGGTTTGTGGAAATCATGACTTTAAGCAAAAGGATGCATTGAAGAAAAAAATCCCTATAATCATGAGAAAAAGACACTTGTGGCTGAAACTGAACAAAACAACATTGTTCAAGGACCAGCTGGCTATATTTTCTGTAGTTTGCAAGTAGACTTGCAAATTGGAACAAAAAGTAATGAGCTCAAATAAAAGAACTTGTCTTAGTGTCTCAATTCAATAACTGGTTAAATTATTTCTGATAGCCAAGAAAACAGAACAAAAGTTAAGAAAGATGAAAGAATCTCTACAGAATGACAACAGAAACATCACCATGGTGGTTTAGAGTCAGTGATAGGGACCAAGCAGTTCAATGATTCTAGGTCTGATTCTCACCTCTGCCACTTACCAGCAACTTGATCTTGGGTTTATTTTACCCTGATCTAGGACTCAGAGTAATAAGATAAGGTAATTGTAAGGATAAATGCAGGTAAAATGTGCAATGTTTTGCACGGGGTTCGGTACATAAGTGTTCAATAAATATTACTTGTGTTTATTTACCATATTGCCTAAATCTTGGGGAAAAACTGGCAGAAGTACAGTTAAAGAAGAATAATAGCCAACATCAATTGAAGCCTTTTAGATGCCAGATGCTATGCTCAGCGCTTTATGAGGATTATCTCAGCAAATCTTCAAAATAACCTCATGGGAACACTATGGATTGAATTTTACAGATGTGTCTTAGAGAGCTTTACTGGCTTGCCTACCAACTGATAATCACACACCAGGCATCAAATTCACAACTCTCTGCCTCATGAGTCCTTGTTCTGAGTCAACATGATATATTGTTCCCATTAACCTCCAAATATGGAGTGATATAGGTAAATGAAAGGGATTTGATTTAGTTGGCAACTATTTTCAGGTAGGGTGTGTATTTGTTAATTTATTAATTCACCCCAAATTTTATGTTTTATTTTTAACATATTGTTAGACATCAAAATACAAAGATGTCTAGGACTTAATATCTTCCCTTGAGATTCTCATATTTTAGGGAATTTCAAAACAATTAATGTTGGCATAAAATTTCGGAAGAAGTTTCATAGGCAAAATGATACTTAACACATGACAGGATTTTCCACCTAGAGGCAGGTTAGTATTTAGAACAAACCACATCTGAAATGATCATCTATAAGCCCAAGAGAAAGACACCGCAGCAAGTTAGCTATCTAATCTGGCCAATGCAGAGCTATAAGCAGATAACTTGGATCCTAGTTACCAGTTATGCTCTAACCACCACATCACAATGAATGGTACTTGGTGATAGATATAAAACCTTTGGGTACTACTGTTTACAATGAGATGGCCACTCTAAAAACCAGTAATAGGATCTGAATTGGGACTTAATAGAGCAAGATTGAAATTTCAAATCTCTGTGCACACCTGGGATAAAATATGGGGTAAACACAATCAGTGTTCATCAACATCCAATTCTTCTTACCCTCTGTATACAAAGAATACACTTCTGAGCCTCAAAGGGATTAGAACCATGTGACTCTACAGTCAATGAAAAGGAGCAGAAAACACACATACCTCTCACTTCCAAGCTGAACCCATGAGAATTCTCCAGGCTGTCTCCTTCTGTTTAGTGGTGGCCTAGGAGGTTACGTGTTCCTAACATTGCAGTCACAATTTAGTGAAGCTTTTGTCAGCTCAGGCTGAAGGAACAAAAAATAAAACTTTGTTATATAGAACCTCTAGAATTTTGGATTATTTGTTCCCTCAGCATAACCTGATCAGTTCTGACTAATAAATATAAACCCCTCAAGACACACATTATTCAATAATAGATATTCAGGACATAAATTGGTGGGAAAAGTATACTTCCTATGGGAGAACAGATAGGAGAGTAGTCATATTAAGGAATACCCAGATCTCAATGAAGGCTTGAGAAAACAAATCCTTTCAGACAAGCTTTCAATATGGCAGGTTTTTCAAAATAATAATTTACATACATAATTTTATTCAGTAAGTACTGATTAATTTCATTAGTACACTATAGAATACTGTACTATTTATATTAATAATATTTATAATAACTTCTGATTTATTTATGAGTTCTTATCATGAACCAAAAATCTAGTACTGAGGCTGTAACAGTGAACCAGATAAGGTCTCCATTCTCAAGTTGCTTAAAATTTAGATTGAAGGGCCTCCCAGGTGGTAGGTTGAGCACCACTCTGTGAAGCTGTCTGCAGCCTCTGCAGCGTGGGTTCAATTCCAGGCCAGCCAGGGAGATACCCACATGGTGTGGCAAGACCTCTCCTGCCACGCCCGCTGCTCCCCTCAGCAGTGTCTTCGGTCCGTCTGCCTCCTCTGCTCCCCGCTGTGTCTCTGGTGAATTCTCTCACCCTCCTGTGCCTCTGACCTGTACCCCAGTTCTTGTATAAATAAATACATCTTTAAAAAAAATTAGATTGGAAAGCAACCAAATATATAAGAAATTGTGATTCTTTGTGATAAATGCAGTATTAGAGAAAGCATGGGATTATATAAGAAAAGCACCTTTTCAGACTGAGTGGCTAAAGGAAGCTGAACTCAAAAGATGAGCAGACATAGTAACAATAATGACATGATTCATATTTGCATTTAAGTAAGAAATGACATTTCTATCTCATATGCTATGGGTCAGTCATCATATTATACACTTCACATATGAAATAATCTTCGTAACATTTGAGGGAGATAAATTTATTACCCCTAGCTAATTAAATGATATTTTACAGAAAAAGTGAAGGGAAATAGAGATTTCTAACTGATGGAATAAAATAAGCAAAGACACAGAGGTGTGAAATATTCCTAGTTCAGCATGACCAAAGTATAATCATAGTGTGGTAGTGGGGGCTATGAACTTTCAGTCCCTTTGCTGGGAGAGCTCTTTTCCCAGGTATCCCCATGGTCAGTGCCCTTACCTGGTTCAGATCTTTGTTCAAAGATGTTCTTCATGTGAAAGCCTTCCCTGACCACCCTGGTAAACTGAACACTATCTTTACCTCATTCCCTTTCCTGCTTTATTTTTCTCCACAATCTTATACTAGTTTAAAAAAATCATATAGTTTTTGTATTCATCTTGCTTTTCATCTGTCTTTTATCACTAGAATACAAGCTCCATGAGAGTAGGGGTTTCTGTCTAGTGTTATATCCCCAATGCCTAAAAAGAGCCTGAAACAAGCTATTCATTAAATAACATTTAATGGTGCTCTTAATTTTATCCTCATTTTTATAAATCTGGAATTAAGGCCAACTTCAGTAACTTTCAGATTCATAGTAAGTAGCAAATCTGAAATTTAAACTTATGCAGTCTGTGTTGGTGTCTATGGTTTGAATGACTGTATTGGACCCCTACTACTGAAGCATCATTTAATGAGGGAGATAGAAAATATATAGAGTGGGCCTCCCTGGTGGTGCAAGGGGTTAAAATGCAACCTATGGAGCAATCCGCAGCCATTGCAGCACAAGTTCGATCCCCCGGCCGGCCTGGGAGCAACCCACATGGTGCAGCAGACCTCTCCTGACTGGCCCACTGCTCCCCTCAGCAGTGTGTTTCAGTCAGTTTGCCTGTTCTGCTCCCACTCTGTCTGGTGAATTCTCTCACCCCCACACTTCTGGCATGCACCCCAGTTCTTGTATGCATAAATCTTAAAAAAGAAAAGAAAATATAGAGAGGGAGAATATGAGGTCAAGTGGAGATACATTTTCTTTAAAAAAAAAAAAAGGAAGGAAATGACAAGAGTAGGTATTGGTCAATCATACAATTTCACTGAGCTGGCCTAACGGCCAGCTCTAACATAGCTACAAGAATAAATCACACTTGAGAACATAAAAGGATAGTGCTGCACTTATCCTATAGAGGGTGTTCATCTCAATACTTTTCTTCCTCTGTCTCCATTTTAAGTTCACACACAAGATCCAGCAGCAGAAACTGGATCTCATACTCCTATAATTTATTTTTTCCCACTATACAAGGCTGACTTTGACCTGACCCACAGCTCACAGAAAACTAGGTTCAGCATTTTAGGTGCTTTATAAGAGAAAGAAAAGGCTGCTGCCCATAGGATGGGATGGGGAATAATAACAATTCCACTTTGACTATGGTAACTGGGCTAATGTGTAATATGGCTACAAAAAGGAGCAAGATAGAGTTCTGACTAAAGATGCATATGATGATGAGAGTGAATGCTCTGACAGGACATACTCTATACCAAACACTGATCTAAGTCTTTACATATATTACCTCCTTGCATTTCTACAACTCTGTAAGGAAAGCCCTATTATTATCGCTTTTTTTTTTAATTGAAGAAAACCTTTTTTTTTTTAAGATTTATTTATTTATGGATATACAAGCACTGGGTGCACTTAGAAGCGCGGGAGGGAGCCAGAGCAGGGTGCAGAACAGGTAGTCTGACGAAGTACACTGCTGAGGGGAGCAGCAGGCGGCAGGAGAGGTCTGCGCACCAGGTGAGACCCTCACCTGGCGGCCGGGGATCAAACCAGTACTGCAGAGGCTGCGGGCAGCTTCCCAACCCAGCCGCTGAGCCACCAGGGAGGCCCTATTATCACTTTTTCAGTTGAGAATATTGAGGTAATCAACAAGAAAAACCTGGCAGCTAAGCTTCATTTCTAATTGCCAGGAAAAGTCTAGAGACCACAATGGTTAAACTCTTGCGGATCTAGCAATTTCCATCCTGACATCTTTGCTTGATTGATTTAAAGTTGGGCTTTGAAGCATACAGAATATAAAACAGAACACACACACACACACACACACACACACACACACACTCTGAGTTCCAGTCCATGCTGAATCAATCCAATGCCTGGACAGGATATTACTGCCAATATACTTATGTGAGGATAGCAGCAAGGGACAGAAATTTTCCTCAAAGACCCCCCCCACTCCCGCCATACATACACTCTCCCTATTTCTGCACACAATCCATTAATATGTGGCCTGCTCTCAGATCCACCTGAAAGCACAAAAATACATGAATTTATTTGTTGGTAAAGCATGTGGATGTTGAAGCTCTCTGACATTCAGGCAGTTAACCCTCCTGTTAAAAGCCCTCCTCACTACAACAGCCTGAGGCACAGTTGAAGAAAATGTCAATGATATCCAGAAAGCTCAAGTGAATAAATGGGCTTCTCTCCAAGGCACCAGGAAAGAGCAAACTGAGCTTAGTGAAAACACAGTGGTTATTCTGCAGTTTTGCCATACCCATTGCAGGGACATTCACATCACCATATTTAAGGGAGGGAGATCCTTAGGTAGTCATCTTTCTGCCCTGTTAAATATTAACAAGAAGAGAGTCTCAAAATGAGGCAACAGGGAGAAAAATGTACAAATAGATTTTGGTTTTCACTTTAACAGATTATTATTCAGGTTTAGGACTTTGGGATACCCCTCCCCTTCTTTTTCTCTTGACTGCACACATACACTCTTTCTCTACAAACAACAGGCACCAGAAAAATGTACAAGGAAACCTTCTTCAAATAATCACCCAGTGATGCAAATATTACTGCTAGGTAGAAATGATTAACTAAAAAAAAAAAAAAGATCAAATAAAATTTTAATAGTTTCTATATATGAATATGCTTTAAAATTCATGTCTTCACTGGAGAGTTAGCTGGCTAGAACTCCTTGGTGCAGGGTTCAGTTTAAAATCTCCTAATGAGATGCAAAGTTGGTGATCATGTTGGTCTCTTCCACCAGGTTCATCTTAAGAAAACAGATTCTATGAATCTTGTCTTGAAATACTCATGATCTATAAGAGCAGTTATGAGAGGCACAGATATCTATAAGAAGTTGCAATTCAGCAACTCTATTGCTTTAAAAATTTGAAAAGCAGATTTACCATAAAATATATTTTTCACTGCACACAGGAAGGTGTTACATTCATTGTATTTATTGTTCTTCTGAGAATAGGAAAAATCTAATATATAATCAAAAATAATATCAAAATATAATATGAAAACATAGAGGTGGCTAAAATAAATGCATGTGTCAAGTGTCACTTAAACATATGATAAGGGTATCCTTAAGCAGGTCCACAACCTGGTCTGAGAGGCAATCCCCTTAGCTTACATTAGTGCTAATGCAATTCAAAAGATCACACCAATAGTTTTAAAAGCAATACTTAACAAGTTCAACTACTTTCTTTTAAAGAAAATCAGATAAGCTAAAAATATAATTGTACCTTTGAGATGATTTTACAGCTTTTGAAGAGTATTGGCTATTTTGGATGGTGACAGGCAGCTGACATAGTAATGCAAAGCAGGTTTCAGTTCATTTTTCTGATGTTTCTACCTTTTGGAAGATAAGCTGCCAAGAACAATTCAAGGTGCTTTAATAGAAAACCTTTTGCACTCATGCTATCTTTAGGCTATTTCAGTACCTGGAGCAGCTTAGGCAAAGTCGATGTCAGTCCATAGATTTGCACTCAGTAAGAACGAATATACAACATTCTTAGAACAAGGTATCAAACCCTAAGACTTATTTTGCTATTTTGCTGAAAGATAACTTTTTTCATCAACACTAAAATGTGATGAGAAATAGAAGGGACCATCTTATTTCCTATTCTTTCTGCATGCATCTTGGCACATGAGTCAGACAGGCTGGTTCTGAAGTTTGTTTCTGTCACTTAAAAGTCAGTGAGCTTGGACAAGTTCTTTAACCTATTTTGGTCTATACCTAATAGTAACTAAGTTCTCGAGTTTTTGTAAGAATTAAATAGGAAGCTATTTGTAAAACACTTAAAACAGCACATAACATATGGTAAGTGCTTAATACATGTCACTTAATATTATAATTATTATCTACACAGACTAAATATGTTCGCCTGTAAACTCTCATACTTTCACAAAGCTTTAAATATCAGCAATATTCCACAGTAATAATAAATCTCTATTTCTAGTGCCAGAATATTTCTTAGGCTCTTGATCTGCTCTGTGATTTGACTGCCGCCATGCACTTACTTCCCTTGTCAAATGTGCACTTCTTTCTGATTCTAAACCTAGTTATTGGCATCATCATTCTCTAATTGCCTAAATAAAAGTCTTCCAAACCAGTCATTATTTATTAAGTACTCACTATGTGCTAGACTTAGTTAATCAGTGCTGAACAAAACAGATTTGATCTGACTTTACAGCTCTGTTGGGAAAACAAACATTGGACCAATATCAAAGAGCAAGTATGACTTGGTAAACTACTATGTGGGACCCAGTTATAACAACAGTTCTAGAAAGAGAATCCATTAAAGAGCAGGATTCCTATTACATTGTTCTTTTCCCTTATTGCTATGGAGGACCAATCTGGTATGACTTAATAAAACTTATTCTGTGCCATCCTACAAGGTAAGGAGGCCAGGTTGCATTCATAGAAACTTGGGGAGGCAAGTAATATTAAACATTCAGGGAAGACTGAGATTTCTGAGTAATGGCATAGTGTTACAGTAGCAACATATCTGTTCCTGTCTCTTTGTCCTCCTAAAATCACCAACTTATAAGGTTAGCATTTTTTAACTTCTTCAGGGGAAAATCAGGTACTTCTCTCTATTACCTGTTTCCAATTTGAAGTGACTCCCTAAGAATGTCACACTAGTGGTAATTACCTGTACTTGCATTCAGACGTTCCATTTCCCAAGATTTTAGATTTCCTATAAACAAAGACCCCTTCACTAGTACCTTCAACAAGTATGGATGAAAATATTCTTATTTTACAACAAACATCTGGTCAACATAAATAACAGACCAGACACAGGAATAAGACCAGAGGCCAAGATACCAGTAGGAAAAGTGAGTTGATATTTCTAATAGGTATCAAGAAATTAGGAGGCAGGCACCAGAGTAATGGAAATTAGAATGGAGGAGGGGAAAGTTGTACTGGAGAGATGGTAGTGGTAAATACTGTAAGATGTGGTGGCTAGTCAAATGTTATGGCAAGAGAGAGGGAGGATTAGTTTCTAAGATAATCTGGTTTGGACAAATTAAGCCAAAAATAATGCCATTTACCAACATGAAGAATATAGGCTAAAGGATGAATTTAGGGGCTCCCAGCAAACATGTGATCTGAGTTTCTAAACTTCTCAGAGTTTTCTCAATGACAACATTCATATATGTAGGACAGAGGAGGAAAAAACTTCCTCCAATCTTCAAGGTTCTTTTGAGTGATCTAAGAAATCAACATAAGACAGACTAGCAGGAGAAATACTAATTTAATTTCACACATACAGGAAACCCACATAACATGAAGGTTCCATGATAGTCCGTGAAAACAAATGTATATTCCAGCCTGAGACAAGGAACGAGACAGAAACCTTGTGACTTCCAAAGTAAAGAGGGTAATTCACAGGATTTTAAAAAGAGCAGATGTTCAATAATTACACAGTTTGCCTGCATACAGATAGGTCATAAAATTTATTTCTGGTAATAACTCTCATTTTTAGCAAGGTCCCCTATCTAAATTTTTCTAGGTAGTTAAGAGAGAAACAAAATTTTCTCTGCATCCTGCAGGGTCTCAACTGCTTCAAAATAATGCACATGTCACACCTTGGAGAGGGTTATTCTAAAACTCTTTGTCACCATACTGTCTATTATGGGCTCAACTATATACCCCAAAAATTCTTATGTTGATTCTCTTAGACCCAGTACCAAAGACTGTAACTAAATTTAGAGATAGGGTGTTTTGTTTTGTGTGTGTGTAGAAGAACTGGTGTGTAGGCCAAAAGTACAAGGAGTAAGCAGATTTACCATGGACAGAGAGGGGAGCAGAACAGGGGGATTTACTGAAATACACTGCTCTAAGGGGAGTAGTGAGCAAGACAAGAGAGGTGTTATATTTGGATTAGCTCCCTGGCCAGGGATCGAACTCAGGCCGTAGCAGTGATAGCACTGAGACTTAACCCCTAGGCCACAAGGGAGGCCCTAGATTGAGTCGTTAAAGAAGACTCTATGATGAAGTCAAAATTGAGAATTTAGGGTGAATCCTAATCTAATCTGATGGGTGTTCTTATAAGAAATGTAAATTTGGATGTACAAAGAGACATCATGGATGTGTACATACAGAGGAAATGCCATGTGAACACACAAGGCAAAGGCAGTCATCTGCAAGTCAAAGAGCGAGGCTTCAGAAGAAATCAAACCTGTTGACACCTTGATCTTCAACTCTCACCCTCTAGAGCTGTAAGAAAATAAACTTCTGTTGTTGAAACCATCCAGTCTGTGCTATTTTGTGATGACAAATGTGTGTAGAAGAGCAAACTAATGCATCCTCCACATCAATGCTTCTCAAGCTCCTACGTGCACAGGAATCAAACCTTGTTCTGATTTGGAAGGCTGTGAGTGAGACCTGAATTCTGTATTTGTTTCAATTCCCATATAATACTTATGCTCATAGTAGCAAGACTAAATATTTTTCAAACTGCAGTCCAGAAAACTCCTTATAACCAAATCACCTGGGTCCAATATTAAGCGGGAATATTTATGAACCCAGGCTTTTTGAATTAAAACACTATATCAAGAGTTGCATTGTAGAGATACACATTTTCAACAAACTCAATAATCAAGTTCATGCACACCTACATTTGAGACTTTCTCCCCAAGATCATCTTTTAGCGCCACAGGAAAATTCTATCACTTATTCATCTGCCACCTGGCCATCTTTCCCCAGAAATCTCTAACATGCTTTTGAAGGCACTGGCCACATCAGTGACACCAACCTAGCGCCTCTCCCAGAGAGACACTGCCTCTAATATGTGGGAAGAAACCTTCACAGGAACTGACACTCAGGATATAAGTTAAAAGCAGCTCACATACCAAAAGTAATTTGGAGAGAACCTCCCAGGCTTTTAAGCAGCTGCTTTTGCATATGAAAGGTGAAAGTTGAGGCAATAAAACCCAGAGGGGGGGAAATGTAATAATACTTCCAAGTTTCTTCTACTGACAGCAATTTCTTTCATTAGCTGAGGATTTGCAATTCCTGGAGGCTTGAAATCAAGGTTGTCACCTCTGGGCACTAAGGCAATTCTGGACACAATTGTGAGAAGGAACAATTTGCCTGTCATCTGGATCCCCTTGCTTTGCTCTTTTATATTTCTCTTAACCTACCCATCAACTATCCACTGTTCCTTGTGAAAGTCTGCCTCTCCACTCCAAGTTCTCCTTCCAGCCAGTCAGAGGTTGCTGGTATACACAAATGCTCAAGCAGATTGACCCCTGACAAGAGATGGTGCAAGATCTAGTGTGGAAAGGCCAGTCTTGCTATCGGGAGATCAGCATTAGATTACTTGCCGTTTTACTCTTCAGGCCTTTTGGTTTCCCTGGCAAGTGTATGAATCTCTGGCTCTCAATGTCCTCACATGCAAAATAAAACTGAGCTAGGTTGTCTCTAAGGTCCCCTATAGGGTAAATGAAGATTGTCAGGCTCTTACATCATTGGCATCTGTGGCCTTAAATGCAGAAGGTGCTTGGGAGCTTGGGCATGGGGCATGCGTGCCTGGCTGTGGACACCTGGAGTATGGTGTGGGCATGAGAAAGTGTGCACACTTGAGCCAAAAGGCTGAGGCAGTAAGGATGGAGGCACTCAGAGACAAGAAGGGCTAAAAGGAGCAGTTATAAGAGGACAAGTGAGGGCTCTGAGAGGAAGAGACCACAAGAGAATGTCAGAGAGCGCCCAAACAGGAAAAATAAAGATATGATAGGGGCCAGGAGGCTTGCCAGCCTCCTGATCCAGCCCCCCTGCCTTGCCATCCTGCAAGCTTGCCCCACAACAAATGATGTAGAAACAGCATTTAAAGCCTGAAAAAGCCAATGAGGGCTCCAGGACTCTCGTTTATCCATCTGCCCAAATTGACAGAGAACCTGCTCTGTGCTTGCTGGCACGACATCCCCTGTCAATAAAAGACTTTCATTTTACGAATGAATAAAAAGCTTTGAATCTATTGCTGAATTAATTTTTCACCAGCTTCCTCTGCAAATCTGAAAAATTTAACCGTGTTTCAATTTCTCATCAGTGAGAGTGGGCTAACAATATATTAGCAGATTGTCCTACCTTTACCCTACCAATTTCTTTGCCTTGCCTGATTCCAAAGTCAACATTAGTCTATTCGTGGCTCAGGACATTACTTGCCCCCTTCCCCCATCCAACTTAACTTCTGGGTTAAGGAATGGGGACCACAAATGCATTTCCCTTGCAATGTAATAGGACCTTTTATTTTTTAAAACATTTATTGTATTTATTCACATAAAAGCTGGTGTGTAGGCCAGAGGCGTTTGTGGGGGGGGGGGATTCACCAGAGACAGAGTGGGAAGCAGAACAGGG